AGGGGGTTGCTCATGTTGCCAAAAAACCAAACTAAAAACACTATACATCATTTACAAAGTCTCACTAAAAACTGAAATAAAGTTCAGATGGATTTAGAGTCTACAAGAAAACTTGTCAATTAACAAAAAAACTCCCTAACCAGAGAGCAGCAACAATATTCAGTTTCACCTTAAACAAAACACTTTTAGATCAAAGAGATTCTTAATTCCATATTACAAATGTCTTCCCTTCTCCCTCCCCCCTATCAGAGCCTAGGTAGAGAATATATCTTCAGTGCGAGATACCAGAAGGTGAAACACACCTGTATGTCTTTTTTAACAGGTTTAGGCTTATTGTCCACAATTTTTTTTCTGAATTCAAGCAGCACTTCTTTGCAGTCTTCCAAATGAACCTCTGGTTCCCAGGTATCATCGTCAGAGGTATATCCTTTCCACCGTACTTTGTAGAGAATTTTACCCTGCAAGACAAAAAAAAAATCAACATTTAATACAACACAGCATAGTACTGCATCACTTACTCAATTCTTAGGGATCTCTGTGGATGTATCATTTTGTGCATATAGAAATTAATACAATGGGAGTTCCACCCAATGTTGACATAAGCAGCCCCAGAATTATTTCCATCTGCTTCACATACTGAACTAAGTAGGCTGTAAAATGTTTCAGTAGTTGTGGTTTTATCCAAAATATTTGTAATATCTAAAATTTGTTCAGAGCCACAGCTATAATGTACAAATCATAAATTCCCAGTCATTTTACTAAAATAGATGTTCTGACAGTTACGAAACTGGTTTTTTAAGTTTTCATATTTTTTTCTACAAAAATGTCAACCTTGAATTGCTTCTCTTTACTGAAGAAGTTGATATAAGACCTTAGGATTATAATGCACTAACACCATTCACCTAGTTTTACATTGGTATTTATAACTTATGTTAGATTTGTAATCAATGCCGCTTTTGATAAAATGAAATGCCAACAATCAGGAAAAAACTACCCCACCAATGAGATCAAGTTAAACCTAGACAAAATCTGAGTGTGTGCATCTCAATGGAGTTAGTTACGAAGATTTTACCCAAAAGACTACATACGAAAGCCCTAGAACAATTGTTTCAAGAGCATTTAACTTCACTGTAGGATGAAATGGTATCTTTTAGTCTCTACCTTGTGTTTTCACTGGATTAGAAAGCCTTTTACCATTAAAAAAAAAAGCTTTGCATCAAAATCGGCCAAGAAGGCCAATACAATTAATATCTAATATTAATATCTAATTTAATCTAATATCTAAATTAATATCTAACACACCCCATCTGGGGGGTATTAGAAGGAGTGTGGTTAGTAGGTCGAGAGAGGTTCTCCTCCCCCTCTGCTCTGCCCTGGTGAGGCCACATCTGGAGTATTGTGTCCAGTTCTGGGCCCCTCAGTTCAAGAAGGACAAGGAACTGCTTGAGAGAGTCCAGCGCAGGGCCACAAAGATGATTAAGGGAGTGGAGCATCTCCCTTATGAGGAAAGGCTGAAGGAGCTGGGTCTCTTTAGCTTGGAGAAAAGGAGACTGAGGGGGGACCTCATTAATGTTTATAAATATGTAAAGGGTGACTGTCATGAGGATGGAGCCAGGCTCTTCTCAGTGGCATCCAATGACAGGATAAGGGGAAATTGATATAAGCTGGAACACAGGAGGTTCCGCTTAAACATGAGGAAGAACTTCTTCCCAGTAAGGGTAACAGAACACTGAAACAGGCTGCCCAGAGAGGTTGTAGAGTCTCCTTCTCTGGAGATGTTCAAAACCCACCTGGACGCGTTCTTGTGCGATCTGATCTAGGTGGTCCTGCTCCGGCAGGGGGATTGGACTAGATGATGCTTTGAGGTCCCTTCCAATCCCTAACATTCTGTGATTCAGTGAAATTATCTCTTGTCTCTCTCCTAAATACATCAAGTAGTCTGAATCCTTATGTTTCTCAGGATGGACTCCTTTCCTTGCTGAGAGGCAAGGCTTATTAGCTTGGACTCAGCATGTTGCTGATAGAGCCAGACAAGCAGCAACTCCAGGCCTCCTGCACGAAGCTTAACTGAAAGGCAGAGACATGTCCTATGAAATCAACGCAGTCGCCTTTATCAATTAAACCTGCAGTCTCTTTAAACAGACGTATGACAAAAGCTAGCACCAAACTTAAGAAAATCCATTTTCCATAGAAAAAAAAAAAATAATACCAGGCAACATAGCCATTCCTGAACTTATTTCCTTCTTTTTTTTTTTTTTAAAAAAAAAAAGTAAAAGTAGTATTAGCACAAGGAAGAGGCAAAATAATAGTGTCTCTGTTTCAGGAACAGATTGATACTGTTCTGAAAGATCCTACACTTCTAATCAAGCCTGGAGAAGGAAAGCTTCGAAAGGACTGCCATTTGACACTTACTATTACGTGTATTTACATCCATAAATTTATATTTTTGCCTGAGAATCATTAACCTTTTACCAAGTGTATATATATGCCATCAAACTTTTAGCAATCAACTCTACTTAAAATCATCTGTGTTTTGCTTCACAGACATATCAATAAATAGCCTGTATTCAGATACATCAGTGTAATACTTCTCTTCCAATTCAGCTTAACCATACACTCTTGATTCAGGAACTGGTTTTAAAAATCATGTTCACCCATCTCCTCCTTCTAATGGGTTTACTCACAAAATAAGTGACTGGTAACTTTCTTATTACAGTCATAGAGTAATTTATGTTATAAGAGATCTCCGGAGCTAACAGATAAATGCCCTACTCTGCTCCAAGCAGGACCATCTACATCAGGCTGCTGAGAAACCTGCCCAGTCAAGTTGTATCTAATCAGATTTCCCTGCGTTCCAGCTTATGTCCACTGCCTCACATCCTTTCACTGTGCACCTCTGAGAAGGATCTGACTCTGTCTTCCCTACAGCCTCTCATTTAGTAGGTACAGGTACCACTATCATCACCCCTGATTCTTCTCGTCTCATGGCAGAGCAAACCTAGCTCTCAGCCTCCTGTGCTCCAACTACCTAAACGGTCTTCATAACCCTTCACTCCAGTATGTCCATGTCTTTTCTGTCCTGGGGAGCTCAGAACTTGACACAGTACTCCAGATGCATCTCAGTAGTGCTGAGAAGAGAAAAAGAAGCAGCTCCCTCAATCTGCTGGCTACACTCTTGGATGCTGTTGGCCTGCTGTTGCAGCCTTTGCTGCAAGAACTGCTGACTCATGTTCCACTTACTCCTCTGTGGAGACTCTCAGCTCCTTTCCTGCAAATCTGCTTCCTAGCCAGCTCACTCACCTCTCACCTGTCTGGTGGTACATGGCTATGCCATTTCAGATGCAGGACTTCAGTTAGCTGCAGAGTTACTATTACACTCTTGTAACTCAGGTACAAAACGAGTTAGAAGTCCTTTTTAATTAACTGAGAAAGCTGGATAGAATAAAGTCTAATGCAAACATAAGGCTATTTGGCTGCTAAGTGACTCTACATACAGTACATAGAGAGTGCTACAAAAATGCAGATTAAATGAAGACAGGAGATTGATCATCATACTAAAGATACATACACTCCTTTACACTCATCTGTCAACATTATTTTACTCAACATTTTTCTTTCTTCTGTATCACTTACAAATAACGGAACATTTCCAAGCATTTTTATACTGCTGTAGCTTCTACAAGAACTAGTAATGGGCTAGAAACAACTTCAATAGAAAGGGGTATCACCATGTCATTAAAGAGCAGAGTTAAGGTTACCCATCTCCACTGGGGAATGTCACTATTTGCATTGGAGCCTGTTGTTTTAGTAAAATTTTAGTGCAGTATGAAAGACTTTCTAGATATACTGAGAGGAAACTTTTCCAGACTTTCATTGCTTGTTGTCTTAAACAGGACATGTCAGTGTTTCATTTATCAGCAGGTCTAACTCCCCAGCCCAATCCCATCCCAGGAGTGCTACCACTACTGCCAGCTCCAACAACATCAGGACTGTGAAGGACAACAGAGGTTCTCTGCGCAGTGCTCTCCAGCTCTCCCACTTCTGCAACTGAGACACAGGAGCACACAGACTGGCCTTATGCTCAGCAGCTGACTCGATGTATCTGCTTGGACTTTGTATCACGCTTGGAAATCTGCAAGCTGGGAACCACTGGTCTAAAAATATACTCCACTGAATGTAACACACAGCTTTTTTCAGCTGTTTCAGAAGTTAGGACTGGGTCGGAGTTATCTGTCTCACCCTGTATTTCTGAAGCACAGGAACATGGCCCCCATTTAAGAGCAACGGAAAGGTGACCTGATGCAAGTGGAGCCCATGCTACAAAGCTACAACCGACACATACTGGGTAAGGCACATGCACACTGCACTGACCCAGCCCAGAAACCTCAAGTGCATACAGCTCAGAACCTGCTGCAGAACGGGCTGCTTGGAGGAAGAGGAGGACAACAGAAATTTTTACCAGCACATGTTGTTGTCATTTTTAAGAGATGGTATTTGATGTATTCTGGTACTCTGTAGAAGTGTGGGGTGGTCTGAGTTGTCTCCCCCACCACTATACACATTTTAGGTGCCATCATGGGGGGGGGGAGGGGAGGGGAGGAAGAAAAAAAGGAGTCCTTCTGTTTTCAAGTCTGACATTATTTGACCAACACTTTATACAGGCAAAGCTGTAAATATCGTATTACCTCAAAAATATAACATTCTTAAGCCATCAAGATATTTTAACCTAATCATGATAGCATCACAAATTTATAAGAAGTTCTTGATCTGAAGGTTATTCAACCTAAGGGTTTCAAACCCCTGATGTTTTACATTAAACAGGTAGAATTCTATATTATCATGTATCTGACTGAAGCCTAAAATAAAAAAATCTAAATTCGTTAAAATAAACAATTTTCGGACAGGAAATCATATTAAAAACCTGTGTTAATCATTTTTTCTATTTGAGGTTTAGGAAATTTTAGAAGAAGTTCAGTCAGCCTAGGCTGCTTTCAAAGAAAGAAGGTATGATACTTGTGTCTAAACAAAGCAAAGATCACTAAAGCCAGTTATTTTAATTGGAAGGAGTCTCTTATTCTAAGAGGTCTTCACCCATTTCATAACCCAGTAAACACAGTCTTACTAAACACAGCTTGAAACCATCTCCACGTTCTCCATTGTAGTCAATCCTGCCCGTTTCTGCAAACACGCTACAACAAAACCCCGCTGCAGACCAGCCACGAGAGCAAAGAGCAGTTTAACAATGCAGACAAAAAAAAAAAAACCACCAACAACTTAGTGAAGATATCCCAGATTTAGTCTCTTCAGTCAGAGCTGTTACGGCCGAAAAGCCGGCCTGCAAAAATCACGCGTTTTAAATTACAATTACAACGGAACCGCCGTTTTGGCTCGGTTCTGGCCCAAGGA